TGATGTTTTATAATAATCAAAAATTTGCGAATGTACAAGAATTAAAACTTGCAATCATTGAATTTTCGATATAATTCGTAGTGGTGATGATACATAAGATTTAAAATACAATGAGTTTCGTGTACAGTTGGTGTATTTACGAAACACAGATTGAACAGTGCATCCGTTTAATTGCAACAAACTAACGGAACTGCTTTTGAATATTTATTTTTATAGTACTATCTAGGAATAGAAAGTACTATTATAGCCTAATTTATTTACAACAGATCAAATTCCTTACAATTTAAAGGATTGGTTTATTCATGATACGCATTGTAGCGTCCAGGAAGAGATCGTCGAAGCGTCGATGGCCACGTTTATTTGATTAATCGGTGGGAAATACGTGGTTTATTAATCGAAAGGGTCGATAATGGGTTAAGTAGTTAATATGGTAACGAGGGACAAGGTGTCCAGACGCGTGTTTAATAAGTTTTCGAGCGGGAAAGTTCAAGTCAAAGACCAAGGAGGCGAGAGCATAGGTGTAGAAGAAAGGAGAGAAAAGCGGCCACTAATGATTGGTGCACGGCGGTTCGCGCAGGTTCCTCGAAAGGGGTGAGAAGTTTGAATAGGTTGCCGAGGGCGTAACAACGTTCTAGACGTGTATGGCTCGCCTAGCCTCGCGCGTCCCTATATACCACTAAGTACAATATAACTCTCTCTTCTCTCTCTTGTCGCTACGGTTTGACATAACGGTCCTGAGCACCGGGCGAGTTTAGAACTAGCGACCTCGGCTTTATCTACGGTCCACGGCTGAGATTAGCGAAACAAAGAGCCACCCCCCTCGCGGAATGCGGTTTTCGCCTCTGAAGATTCGTCATCTTTGCGGAGACGTCGACCCCGTCGCTGCAATAGAAAATTAACGACGCTCCCGCGCAAAATTTCCATATAAAGGAACAGCTGATTAAAAATAACAACCAATAAGATCAACCATTTCTGAAATTTAGAACGAAAACAGTAAACAAATCAATTTATCCCCTTTTGATTATTAGTTTGAAAAATTAACGACGCCTTCGCGCAAAATTTCCATACGGAAGGGACAGCTAATTAAAAATAACAACCAATAAGAACGTAACCATTTATGAAATTTAGAATGAAAACAGTAGACAAATCGATCTATCCCCTTTTGATTATTAGTTTGAAAAATTAACGACGCCCCCGCGCAAAATTTTCATATAAAGGAACAGCTGATTAAAAATAACAACCAATAAGATCAACCATATCTGAAATTTAGAACGAAAACAGTAAACAAATCAATTTATCCCCTTTTGATTATTAGTTTGAAAAATTAACGACGCCTTCGCGCAAAATTTCCATACGGAAGGGACAGCTAATTAAAAATAACAACCAATAAGAACGTAACCATTTATGAAATTTAGAATGAAAACAGTAGACAAATCGATCTATCCCCTTTTGATTATACTAGCTCACTCTGCGTAAGAAGGGCAATTATTTTTTTTACAGTTAGCTGCGTTTTCGAATCGATAGATAGTCGCAGTCCCGCCTGGCCGTAACTTCGTTTCGAGGGGAATATCTGGATAAAACTGTCGAGGAGAAACTTCGTAGTGCTTTTGCATGCTTCAAGAGCTCCTTAATGGTCGCTAAGAAGAGCTTATTGAAAGAAAGTTACCTCGTTTAAATCCAATCCCTTTAGTTCCCCGCATTCATCACGCATGCATGAACCTACTCCCCGACGAAATTCATCGCGGACTTGGCGGTGGGTGTATTCAATCAAAAGTTGCCTCGCGTCCGGTCAGCCGAGTTAACCACAAGTTGCAGTCGAGGCGTCGGTTTAACTCGAGACCACTTTACTTTCAGGCTCTTTAAATCACGAAACCGTATCGCTTTGAGCCGCTAATCGAATTGATGCTCGATCGTATTAGTTAAAGCAACCGTTCGACCGTGGCTAATGAACTTTGCTCGCTTGTACTCCACGTTTGTATATAGGAAACTTCAATCAGAGTAGAAAAATAAACCCGTGAATATCGAAAATCATCGAACAATATACGATACTCGCTTTCACGAAGATATCAAAGAGTCAAACGGGATACCGGGATAGATCTGCTAGGAGGTTCTTTGAAAATTTTCGCCAATATTTACTCTGCTATGACATGTTTCGCGAGCGTGCAGCAAAATACTTTAACGCGCAAAGTAGAGAATGTACGACCGATGTCTCTGGAGATGGGTAGAGACGTCTGGCCAATTTATTAAGCAAACATTTACACTCGACGTGCTGTACCTTAAATCTCCGAGACTGGTTGGTAAATCTCGCCTTCGTCTATTTACGGCGACTTATATCGAGCGAAGAAATTATTCGCGTTTTATTTAGCTTCCGTGAATCCCCAGCCAGGCTTTTTATTAATTTTCACGCGTTGAATACGATCGATCGATCTGTAAAATAAATGTTTAAAATTGAAAAGAATTTTATCAGTTCGGATATTTGCATAATCTAATTGAAATTTGAATGGATCCACAAAAGTTATTTGAAACAACGAATAACACGATCGCGAATAAATCAAAATTATTTGTATATAAAATTGGATGTTTCGTACGTAGCGTATTTATAACTCGGTATTATCATCGAAGCTTTCCTCGGCAATGATTAATTGCAACAACTTATTGCGCGTTCAAAACGTATACTATATAGCTATAGGTGTGTAGCAGTTGCACGCGAATCCTTCCATTCTACAGATTCCCGTGATTAATTATCAGAAACCAATATGACTGCAAAGATATATTCCCGCAGGAAACCGTAGTAAAAACGTCACGAATGCGACGATCGGGAAGAACAAAAGGACAAGCATGTATTTATCTTTGTTCGCTCGAAATCGATATCGTTTCTATGAATTGAATCTGTCAATGGATACATATACAGGGTGTTCGGCCACCTCTAGCAAAAATTTTAATGAGCGATAGTAGAGGCCAAAATAAGACAAAAATCAAGAATGCCAATTTGTTGATGGAAGCTTCGTTAAAAAGTTATTAACGTTTAAAGTGCCGCCCTTACTGAATTTTTTTTTCGAAAATGCGCAAGATTTCGGGGGTATGTCTATTCACCAAAAATGACTGTAATTGAACCCTACAACCGAAAATAATTTTTCCACAACGATTTGCAATTTTTTAATTTCCTCGAATAATTTCACACCTTCTCTATTTTTTTTCTCGAAAGTGGGCAGGATTTCGTGGGTATGTCTAATGACAAAAACTGATTGTAATTGACCCCCGCAACCGAAAATAATTTTTCCACAACGATTTGCAATTTTTTTTCTCCGTTGAAAAATTTAGGCACCTAATTGGATTTTCAGTAAGGAATTTTTTTCTCGAAAGTGCGTACGATTTTGGAGGTATGTGTAATGATAAAAAATGATTGTAATTGATCCCCGCAACCGAAAATAATTTTTTTAGAACGATTTGAAAAATTTTTTTTCGCCGAAAAATTTCACCACCTACTCGATTTTTTTTCTCGAAAGTAGATAGGATTTCGGAGGTATGTGTACTCACCAAAAATGATTGTAGTTGACCCCCGCAACCGAAAATAATTTTTCCAGAACGATTTGAAATATTTGAATTTAATTGTTAATAACTTTTTAACGAAGCTTCCATCAACAAATTAGTATTCTTGATTTTCGTCTTATTTTGGCCTCTACTATCGCTCATTAAAATTTTTGCTAGAGGTGGCCGAACACCCTGTATATACGACGGACACAGAAATTCGCAAGATTGGTTTGTTAAAAGAGTTTTTAAAATATCGTGAACCGTAAAATAAATTCGTCATTCGAGGCGTAAAACTTGATCTACGACATTTTTATCGATTCTCGTAAATTGATTCTTACAAAGTTTGCCTTGCTATATAACAGTATTATAACCTTATCGAGTCGACAATATAGATTTCCCTTCTTACGAGAGGTCACCCTTTTTCGTTGGTTCTTTCAACAGTTTATGGGACACCCTGTATTCAAACCACACACACGGCGCTTTATTCCTTCGCGTTTATTCTCGAACGATGAAAGTTTGCTCCGTCTACTTTGTGTTCGAAAGCATCGGTCGACGTATTACTAGTTTCATTCGATCTTAAGTATATTTACCTAGGTGTCGACTGACGTTAAAAGCTCGCGGTCTTGAAACGGCAAGACGGTAGATCGAGGAAAAACTGTTCGTATTTTCATAACGACTCGATACCATTTTTCGATGTAGAATCAACGTTTGCTGCGAGAACTTTTAAAGAACGTTAATTTTATTATTATGAAATTGTTTCCGTGTTCTGAAAATCACCATATTTCTTCTTCGTACTTAGAGTCTAAATCAGGATCAACGACATAAGCGTATTTACGTGCTTGCTCGCACCTATCGCGATATATTTTTGATATACGATGTTTACTTTGTTTTTAGCTCTTCTTACGCCGAAGTATCGAGAGAACTTTTGAAATTTCATTCCGAGTTTAAAAACAGAAGAGAACCAAAGAGAAATAGTATAATCTGACTAGATCTAGAGAACAAGGGTTGACGATTGATAAAATTCGACAAATATTCGCGGAGCTTTATTATCCGCGACGATGAGCTGTGATCAGAAAATATTAGCCTCCCATACTTCTATTATACCATTTGTCTACCAACTCGATTTTAAGACTTGCCGCTCCGACGAGTTGTTGTATTTCAAAGTCTGAAACTGCAACACGTTTGCAGACTCGTGTTCTTTATCTTTCGGAGGGGCACGCCGACAGCTTGAATATGGTTATGCCAGGTGTGATTTACGATTCGAGTGATCTTAACACCTTCTATCTCTAGTAAATAGGAGGGTACGCCTAATGAGTTATTTAATATGCTCATACAACATCGGATAGCAAACTCGCGCGGCAGTTCCACGCGACGACAAATGGATTTCGCAATAACTAAGAAACCGAACGAGCCACTTTGTATTCCGAATCAGCAGCCAATAACTGGGTCGTAACGTGGTCGTATCTTACCTTCAGATTGCAGTTGTAACGGTTTTACCTCGAGGCGGCGCTTTATTGTGGAAATTATGCGACCAAGCGCGGGGAAATAAACTTCTACGAACGATAACGCGTTAATTGAACAAGCGGACAGCAATTATTGTCAAGCTTGGTAGAAATCCAGCTACACTCTCTGTCCCGAGCGCGTCTTAGATAACGATAGTATTGTAACAAGGTTTAAAGTACAACTAATTCGATCGTACCACGGCATGTCGTATTTATTTAGCCGCTTGTCAAGACTACGCCGATACACGTAAGTACGAGCCACACACTTTTTCTCCATCTTCGTACGTGTGAAATTAAAGCAGAAACAGAAGTTGAAAAGAAAATAGTAACACAACACGATCGTAAAATATTTACGAAATCTTCGTGCAACGAACAACTTAATTATTTATCTCGTATTTATTCCTCTCTTATTCCTGCGTAAAACTTTGTTCTGCGCATCTCAATTACGTCGGTGAAACTAAGAGAGGCCTCAGGCCCGCACGAATATCGTGTGCATACGGGGCCCCACCGAGTTTTGTTGAAAATTTATGGTGGCTGTCCAAATTTTCTTTAACGAATACGTTGATAAAAAATGAGAGAATGCCTTTGATTCGAGAAACCGTGGTACCAAAGAAGAACCACTAGTACGTGTAACAAGAGTTCTACAAGTGGAAATACGGAATGTCGTACGAAAGTTGGGTATGAACGCTTTGTTACAAAGTTATACGCAAATATCGCTGGATTACTTGAAACTGCACGGAGAAACCTTGTGATAACGTTGCTCCGTGACACGGGAAGACGAAAAGAAGTAGGCCGAAACCTGCTCGCTTGCGTTTCATAACGCGGGGTATACACGTCGAACTTTTTGATAAATTTTTTTTTTTCTAAACGCGATCGTCGATTGCATCTGTACTCGAGCCAATTAAAACTATAGAGTACAGTTCCATGAATGCTTGAATTATAGAAACGCCTTAATCGCGAGTATGTCGTAAACGAGATGACCGTTTCGGGCGAGGCAGGAGATTTTATATTACTCGAGAAAGTCGAGGACACTTTTCTTTGAATACTTTCTCTGTAGACGGCACTAATGAGCGGAACGATTACACTCCTTCCCTTATGGTGCAGGGAATAGTGCCTTTGTCCCGACGAAATTTCGCGAGAAGACGGTTTCAGCTAGGAAGCTGCTCGCGTCTGGGAACGCGCGATACACCGACAATCCGAAACGTTATGCAAAAGGTTCCGTTACCCGGGAATAATCACAGTCCAGTTCGTTTTCTTGGTTCTTAAAACGGTACGATTGCAAAAGTAGCGCTTGTTTTCGCGACAGAGACAGAGAAGACGCCCGGAGGGTTTAGCTGGCGAACGGGTTGGGGGCGGAAAGGTATGTTTTTCTCACGTAATTAGCCACTTCGAGCAAGAAACGGCCCTGGATGAGAAAGGAAATGGTTCTGTCGGGAACATAGAACAGGGACGATTTTACTGAAAAAGGGAAAATAATTAACCGGGTTTTTTTTCGTCGTGCAAACACCTCTTATTTCGTAGAATCCCATTCGGGGTTTAAAGGTCGCCGTGAAAGTAACGAAACGGTATCTTCTTTTCAGTCCGTAACGGAGGACAAAGAAAGACGAGGCTCGTAAAATATACTTTTGCGAGACAATTAATGGCTTCAAAGTGCACGGGAGTTAGATTGCCCGACCCTTTGTACGGTTTTAAAGCAGAGATAAATATCGAAGATGAAACTACTTACGGCAGAACGTCGATTCTCCCAATGTTATTCATAAAGAAAATATATGTATACGGGGTGTTCGGCCACATCTGGGAAAAATTTTAATAGGTGATTCTAGAGGCCAAAATAAGACGAAAATCAAGAATACCAATTTGTTGATGGAGGCTTCGTTCAAAAGTTATTAACAATTAAATTCAAAAATTTCAAATTGTTCTGGAAAAGTTATTTTCGGTTGCGGGGGTCAATTACAATCATTTTTTATGAATACACATGCCTACGAAATCCTATTCACTTTCTAGAAAAAAATTCGAGAAGGTGTGAAATTTTTCGACGAAAAAAGAAATTTCAAATTGTACTGGAAAAATTATTTTCGGTTGCGGAGGTCAATTACAATCATTTTTTATGAATACACATGCCTACGAAATCCTATTCACTTTCTAGAAAAAAATTCGAGAAGGTGTGAAATTTTTCGTCGAAAAAAGAAATTTCAAATCGTACTGGAAAAATTATTTTCGGTTGCGGGGGTCAATTACAATCATTTTTTATGAATACACATACCTCCGAAATCCTATTCACTTTCTAGAAAAAAATTCGAGAAGATGTGAAATTTTTCGACGAAAAAAAAAATTTCAAATCGTACTGGAAAAATTATTTTCGGTTGCGGGGGTCAATTACAATCATTTTTGGTGAATAGACATACCCCCGAAATCCTGCGCATTTTCGAGAAAAAAAATTCAGTACGGGTGGAACTTTAAACGTTAATAACTTTTTAACAAAGCCTCCATTTACAAATTGCTATTCTTGATTTTCGTTTTATTTCGGCCTCTAGAATCACCCATTAAAATTTTTCCCAGGGGTGGCCGAGCACCCTGTATATGTTATAGCAACGTTATTTTTACGAATTATAATACATCATTCTAAAGTTTCCAATCGGAGCAATTTTAAACAGTATCGTAGCTTCGCGATATTTATATGTATCAGAACATCCGAATGTTTCAAGTATGAACGTTGATTCCGGAAACTCATTATTACAGTAGCGATGAACCGATCACGTGTTTCAAGTACGTGACTGTAATGCAAACTCTCCAAGGTTGAAACTTCATCGAATCGGACAAATCTCAGGAATTTACCCAAGAACTCCACGCTGGTCCTACAACTACAGAACCCAACAGGATTACAGGCTTGGACCTTGATTAGCTGTTCGCATCCTCGTAGTTTGTTTCGCTCGATGGTCGAATTTAATGCTTAAATTTTAATTGAACGTGTTCCACCGAATCGATTACTTTCTTCCTTCAGAAGCGTACACGCAAGTTTGCCAATGGAAAGACGAACGTAAAGATCGCGAAAAATATACGATGCCCTCTGTACGTGTCTGTGACAATGCAGGAATCGGCGCAAGATGGAAACATTGCCGGGTTTGGATTCACGTACGTTGGTTGGAAGTGGAGCAACAGAACGCGAAGTAGAGCAGCACGCGGAGGAAAATAGTCCTCAAAGAAGAATCTACGTAATACATGACTTTGCTTTAAATTGTACAAAGGTCCCTTTAGCGATATTACATTTGGCGCGCGTACGCGCCCTCTTCGACGCTGCATCTGTAATGCGGTACGTTCCTCTTTGAATAATGCCTACAAAGAACGTCCCGCTGAATAAAATTCTTGACCGCACACTCATAAGGCAACGTGTGACGCTCTACATCGTTTCGTTCAAGATTCCTCGAATTCATAATTTCATTTAGCTTCAACGTTGAAAATGATTAGTTTCAATCAACGAACTAGGAAACCACGCACTCCAATTCCTATCCAAGACCTTATAAACCACATAAAGCACTCGATAAAGGAGGAATGGAATACACAATGAGAATCAACAAAAACAACCAATATACACAACATCCACAAGACTTCTTCATGGCAGTAAACACCAGTCTCATTGCCAATAAAGAAAAAACTGTAATGTCCAGATTAAGAAGTGGTCATACAAAATTAATACACAACTACATCCTTGATAAAAGAGACGCATCAAACTGCAGCTCTTACTAACATCCAAGGACCATATAAGGGATACCTTGAAATTCGTGAGCGACTCAAACCTATAGTATAAAATTTAACGATACAAATGTGAGAAGTAGCACCGTTAATCGTCGCTAACGACCCAGATGTCGATACAATGTAAAAAAAAATCAGAAGAAGCAGAAGATCAGTTTCAATAAACAGGGTGTTCGGTCACCCCTGGGAAAAATTTTAATGGGAGATTTTAGAGGCCAAAATAAGACGAAAATCAAGAATACCAATTTGTTGATTAAAAATTCGTTAAAAAGTTATTACCGTTTAAAGTTTTCTGAGTGAAAATCACTATCACGCGTGCGCAGCTGTTCGCAGATTGCCGTTCTACAGGCGGAACTTTAAACGTTAATAACTTTTTAACGAAGCCTCAATCAAAAAATTCTTATTCTTGATTTTCGTCTTATTTTGGTCTCTAGAATCTCCCATTAAAATTTTTCCCAGGGATGGCCGAACACCCTGTACAGACGGAATATTTCGTAACACCAAGTCAACCAACAGCAGATATCGCGGTTCTATTGTTCTCGTTTACATTTACAATTAGTATTGGAAAAAGGAAATACCAGCGCCATCCTTCGTGTATGATTAGCATATCGTGGCAGGATATCACGCACGGCAGCCGTAGTCTAACCGTTACTTTTGTACAGATAGCACAGAAAATATAGTGCGTCATACGTTATACACTGTATCCATATCTAGCCATTCGTGCATTCAATAAAAATAATATATTAATCTCCAATAATTAGTGACTAGTTTTTTCATACGAAATGTCACGTTCGTTCCATCTACTAAACATTTCCTGACCCAATCTTATACTAGCGAAGAAGAAACGAGTTAGGAAGTTTGCATCCGAGTTTATTCTCGAAGCTGGTTTATCCAGAAAGTTTCCCGAGTACTTATCATACAGTGTAAATGGTAAACAGCCGTTGATGCAGCATCGTAGCGCGAATTCATCAGACGGATGCAACCAACGTTTATGTTGCTTAAAAAAGCAACTTGGCGTTACGTGTTATGGAAATTTACGCGTGTCGCGTAGCCGTAAGTCGGGCCAACTGCTAACCAAGAGTTGTCTACGGCACATCGAGCCCCGTAACAGAAATAAACCCGCAGTCGTATAAATCTTATTACAATGTAATCCTGTTTGAAAACGCTCGAGTACTTTCGCACTTGTATCCCCGGGTTTCTCGAGATCTTACACGATGCATTTTCAACGAAGAAACAAGTTACGAAGTTTGTCGGTTAAGTTCATGGTGCTGCAAAGAGTGTGGCCTCGTTTCTCCCCCGCCCTTCGCCTCAAACTTCTCCCCTTTTCTCCTCCGAAACACGAATATCCAGCTCCCGCTGCGAAACGGTTCGTTACGCAATGCCTTAGAAAAGAATTCTTAACCCCTTAAAAAAATATTCCTTTTTTTGCACGTTCCTTGAATAGAAACTATAAAAACGTTTTCGACGAGGATTCCGCTCGAGAAGCATCAAAGAATCGGCTCTACTGCGAGTATCCGATTACGCGTGAGAACCTCTGGAAATTTCAGATCCCATTCCGAATGGCGATAGCAGAAGAGCATCGTAGACATCCTCCTTTCGAGAAAGAATATTTCATCTATTCGATAAGTATAATGCTACGAAATACCTCAAAGCGGACCCTCTTACTTTTTCCCACTAAAAGCGCTACTATTAGAAGTCCCCTTGTCTTCTTCTTCTTCTTGAACGCTTTACTCGTTAACGCGTCGGATACCATCGATAAATATTTATTCTTATCTCGATACCGTTTCAAATATATTTACCGGAAGCGAACTATTGGCAATTAGTCGAATTCGTTTACATCGGTATACAATTTTCACTGCCGCGAACACGATATTCGACTCACAGTGTTCTCGAACGATGGCGGTTTAAGGTGAAACTTTATAGCGTTACTATCCCGTATAATGGAATTATCGGATTATCCTGTCGTCTATTTGAGAGAACAGTGGTCGTTCGCCGGAGAAGTCTACTAATCGCGGTCGTGTAGCATCGCTTTTCTCCGCGTGTATCGCCGTTTAAAGCACAAACTTGATCAAGCCAATTTGCAAACCGGTTAATAGCCACGCGTATCCCAGTCGTACAGGAAACGAAAACGATTCGAATTAAAAATTACTCATCCCGCGCGTTAAAAACACTACGTGCCTTTCGCGTGTTTGGGAATTTTTTCAGTAAACAGAATACGGCTGGTTTTTTTATTTAGATGGAAACATTTCCAGGCTCTCGCGCGCCGGGAAAAACAATTCGTCGAATGCAGTCGGATAACCGTTTGATAAATACAAATGCTATTCGACATCAAAGTTTTTGTCCGTGAAAAATGCTGTCGAGCAGAAAAAATTCGTCGGATCGAAAAAGTTCGGTAGCCGTCGTGCATTGTTCAGGAACACGCGCGTTCTTTCGGAAGCATTTCCATCAGCGCCAGAGAGAGGAGGTATTTTTCAAGTTTTCCGCCAGCCGCATCTATTTTCTAAATTTTCTCGTTCGCCTGCATGGCTGCCGCGTGCGGCATTGAAAGGCACTTCCACGCGACGAAAGTAATCGGAAATTGGCAAAAATATTTCTATAAAAGATCGAATGATCTTTTTTTTTCGACGGTGTACGCGTTTGTTTTGACCGGTTCGACGAGCATATATTGTTTCGGAAATTTTGATCGCGTTGATTGAAAAGCATCGCGTCGCTTTGTTCCTGCCGGACAGTTTTCGCGCGCGATTCATCAAAATATTTCCATCGAGCCGTGAAATTTCTTCGCGAGCACATCGATTTTTCATAAAATATCGCTGGATTGCTTTGAATCGATACCTGAGAGACGTTTGCGTAAGAATCAGGTAAATGATGTGGGCGTTTTCAACAAGAATGTCTTGCTTCTAGCCTGAGGTGGATGCCTTCGCCAGTGTGACCGTTTGTTTCTTTATGACACCCCTGCTCTCAAGGAACTTTTCCTTGAGAGGGGTCGTGCGTTGACAAAACGCATGTGGCCCGTCTTAGCCGATCGCTTACTTCGATTTTCTAACATTTGTAGGCGCGTATAAATTAAATTAGAATCCTACATATTAAAAACAAATGTAAGAACAGCTACTCTATACGTGGATGTATGTGATCTGTAAAGATAGGATTCTATTGAAAAGAAATATTGTGGGGTGAGTGGTCCGGGGTGCGTGCATGCGTACGCGCGGGTCATGTTGCGACAGACCGGCGCTGGTATGTTTAGGAAACTCGAGTGACTGAGAAGACGTGAATGAAGAGTGTTTAGACGCGAGCGATAGGAAAGTATAAATGGTTGTATGAGTGTAACCAGGAAACAGAGTGCAAGCGAGACAAATGCAAGGGGATGGACGAATACAAAATGCGTGGAAGTACGGCGAACGAGTCAGTTGGGGAGTTGCATCCAGAGTGCGTATAGTCTAAATATAATACATATATTCACAGGTATCAACGCGTTAATTGATCCTCCCTATTCCTCAGAATCCTACAATATATACGTATATATGAAATGGTTCTTTGATAATTAGAATAATGGGCGGTCTAATAGGGGCTTTCATACGAATAACGATGTAATCGTGGATGGAAAGTTTAAAAGCATTCCTGGTACCTTTGGTGATTAGAGAGTGCAGTGGGCGCGGTTACTTAGCTAGTTAACTCTTTCGGCCCTGCAGCAAGTCGGATCGAAAAGCACGTTTCGCTGACAGGATTTTCACCCTCCGAGCCAGTCTGGCTCCTCTAGTTAAATACAAAGGATTTCCCAAAATATAATTGCCCGTTGCACGATAAATGCGTCGTTCTGCGTCGAGTTAAAGCGCGATTCCTCCAAAACGATTTCCCTCGTTTGTTACGCGATCACGCGTTATATCTACGTGGATCTAAATCCCCCGCAATTTATACCCATTATCTGTTTTGATTTCCCAGTCACGGGGTTACGTTGAAACTATTAGTAACTAGAAAGTTTTGTTATTCGGAAATCCATCGGTATTCCGGGCGTTTCGAGTCTTCATTATTTTTGGAAAAGTTACTTTTTTTAAATTTAACAATGATGTATCCATGGCTTGGGAAACAATAGAAAAAGTTACGAACGATCAAACGAAATGCTGTGCGTTTTGTGTTAACGAACAAGTTTCGCAAATTATCCATTTATGCAACGTTTTGTGTTAAACTTTGTTACGATGGCATTTTGAATATCAGAGGCCATGGCGTGGATGGTTTAATGCTACGAATTTTCCAGAAGGGAAATTTCCAGTCATACGAGGCAATAGGCGCCCCGTGAAATTGTCCGACATGAAATTCTGCTGGAGTTTAATGGAATCACGCTAGGTGCCGAATAAACGCATAAAATTTACAAATATTTAGTAATTGAACGCGTTAACGCTCGATCAAAGTGTGTACGTATATAAAGGACGATTGCATATTAAATCTGTACTAATTTTCCATGAAACGGTAATGGTCGCGTCATCGAAATTTGTTTCGAATGCTTCGTGTTTATGACATTCATCGAAAGAAATTGCGAGTAACGATTTTAACAGAAAATACTGGTAGTTCGTTTTCGGTGTATTGATCGACGATTGATCAGTTTTGTAGGCACATTCAATGCATCGAAGCGTTATAAACAAGCGAGCCCTGAATTTCGATGCGTATCGATGCCCGAAATATTTCACTATATTAAGAATCTCGGTATTGGCAGATATCGTTTTTCCATATTTACATGCCCTACATACTCTGTAAATAAATCTACCTATTCGCATGCAGAAATGTTTCGTCTTTGGTACAAGTTTATAGTCCGTTACTCGGTATTGCAATTTTATGAAACGCACTCGAGGTTAGAAAGATCGTAAATAAACAACGCAGCGTTTCAGAGAAGTTAGTGGCGCGCAGTCGTTTGGTTACGGGGAGAAAAATAGACAATCGTGAAAACGCAACATGTCTGCCCGATAATTCGTTAAGAAAAAATTTGTTAAATTACAAAAATTGAAAACGTTTGGAGTAAGGGAACCATGAAATAAATTTTGGGGTTAAACGTGTGTCTCGGACTACCGTGAAAGTCTTTCACCGAAACGAAGAGATCACGACCGGTTCAGAGATATCGATGAGAAAGCCTGTAGTCAAACCTCGGCGAACCGATGAAACTTTAGCGATACTTTCGCTACAGAAACTTTAAAAGTGTACGTACGACTGGCCGATTTCTACCAAGTTCCGTCAAGTATTTAGATAGACGATAGGGAAAGCCTAGATGCCGCCATTTTTCAACCGATGAAATGAAGTTCGAGTCCTCAAAATTGTTCGTCGCCATTCGGACAAACGAAGATAAATATGGCAAGTAATTCTAGCAACGGTTTATTCCTCTTTACTGAACTACCTTATTTCTTGTAGATAAGTGTACTGTATGCATTGTAGTTACGTAAATGGGAAAGGTATTATTTTAAAATTAGGTGTAATCGTTTTGCTGCCTGCTCGGAATTCAAAGATCACGTTTTAATGATACCGTTGTTAAAAAATTCGTTCGATAAATTCAAAGAAGAAGGTAATGCTAATCCGTCGTAACAAGTTAATTACGAGGCTTGTTCGCGAAGGAAATTGTGTGCGGTGTCGGTGTCAAATTAGTATGGTCCTTTTTAATAGCTGCAAAAACCAGTTTCACCAAAGTTTGTCGCCATAAAAGGTTAATTACTTAGGCGATTAAGCTTGCCAGACAATAAGGCGGTCGGGTTAAACAGGCGGGTTGATCGATTTAGCCTTTCCTACTTCATCCATTAGGCGTTCAAAGTGTAAGAACATCGACAAATATTTGCACTGTTTCGAGCGTCCCGTCTAATCCAAGTTTTCTCTGTATACTTGAAGAGTCTTTTGAAACGCGTCGCATCAATGCTCTTTTGTCGTTTGTTCCGTTATTTCTCGTTTCTATTTAAAACGTCGCTATTTACGATCCAACGCGTGCAGTAACAATAACCGCGGAAAAAACTGTTCTGCCATTTTTGTCGAACCCGACTTTGTTCGGAAAAGTTTCATCGTTATCGTAATAATCTGCATTCCGCGAATCCAAGTGTCATCCGATTGTCTAAAAATAAGAGAGGTTAATACGGATTTTACGGTTTAGGAGTTGACGTAAAGCGATTCGTTGCAGTCGACAAATCATCGAGTTATTCCTGGAAGTTCGCTTGAACCAACGATGGATTTTACGCTCGATCTAAAGTACGTGTCAACCCCCTCGAAATAAATTTTAATTTTAGAATAAAGGCTCTGTGATCTCGATCAAAGTGTAACACGATGATTAGAAAGGAGGATGAAATACAGTAGATACCACGTAATGAATTAGAACGTTTCACCGTGATCGGTCAAGGAACATTAAGACCACGAAAGATCCAGCGACAACGGATTCCACGAGCGAGGATAAAGCGGACCAATCCGGCTGCAAATTGGCTCCTTTGATCAGTCTGGAAAAGAAGGAGAGCCCCGTGAATCCGTACAATCGAGCGGACTGGACGAAAATGAACTCGAAATGGCCGCTTCCGGACACGGATGACAATGAGATCAGCGCTGTAAACAGTCTACCGCAGCTTGACTGCGGCGCATTCCCGAAATCGTACATGGACACGTGTTCCTGCTGTCCTCGGGAGACCTTTGGCAAGCACGACACAGACGCGTTCGCCAACTACAGGAGCATCGTTCTCAAAGACGATGGCTGCTGCAAAGCCCATTGGGCGAGGAAAGAGTGTTACGAGCGAATCAAGGCGAAAGTGAACAGAGCCGTAAAGGTAAATAATTTAAACGAAAATCGGAATTCGGTAAATTACTACGAAATAATTTTTTACGGCATTTCCACGCCAAGTTCTAACCGGCGTGAACTACTTTAAAGAACGTACTACCCCGGTTTTCAGAGGCACAAAATATTTTTGATACGCGGCGAGTTGCCAAAATTGAAGGAAGCTTTGGAGCGAAGGGGTTGGGTGCAGAAATACGAAGCCACAAAAACAAGAACTCTACCTTACGGTTAGTTTCCTTGCCTCCCTTAATTAAATTTTTTTTTCTCTCTTTCGCATTTTACTCTTTTCCTCCATGCTTCTCTAATTAAAGATTAACCGCATAAACGACGGTAAAACGTCTAAATAAAAGAAAGCGTCCGTCGTTGGCGTCGGCGAACTTTTGACGTGTAAAAACGATCGAAAATCCTCGCCGATGTTTCAAACGACGGTACGGTGTTCGTTCGAATTGCTGTTTGATTCTTAGGTAGCGCAGCGAGCTTAGAGGCAAGATCATTAGGCGATCTAACCCAACCGGACGGAACGTTAAACGAGAAAGCAGTGATTTTCGCTTTACTACGTCACAAACTGCCGGACTTTATATGGGACTGCCGAAACGACTTTGTCGACTGGCACCGTGGCCTGAGCAGCAATACCCTCCTCAACAGATATCAGAAACCTTCGGTTTACACTTCCAAGGTTAACAACATCGTTTTATTTTATGGAATTTATCCAACTCCGAGCACCGCGTACAGAATAAGATCGCCGAACGTGAGACTGTCGTCAAACTAAGTCAGCTACGACTCTGCGTGATTCTAAAGATATTAAAAATAATAAAATGTATTCCGAGAATACAGGGCTACAGTTAATGACGAGATAGATGCAAGAAATTTACGCTGGGCAAGTATAATTATAATTGACACGGTAGTAAAGCGAGGGCACCGTGTAATTGAACGATATTCAGTGTATGGGTGCACCAGAGTGTTGTATAAAAGTTTAATAGTGGATATATTTCTAAAGTGACGAGAGACACGGATAATTAGACCAAGAACTTTAATTACTTACGTTATATCGTGGCAATGCTCGTTAAATGAGAAAAATGAGGTAAATAAAATGCCGAGGGCCCTCATACTAGTTACACTCGTTACCGATACAGAGTCCAGAACATAATTATGACGAATAAGTGTCACTCTGGTTTGCAAAAGTCCATTATACCACTAGATTAAATTTCAGGAGGTTAACTTCAATACCGAACCTACCACGACCGGTTATTTAACCGGTTGCACGATTTAAATGGGAGTGTTACAATTAGTCTAACAACGCGTATTAAAAATAGTAAAACTTTAGACACACGCAGTTCCGAAACTACTAGTGATTTATTGAGTCATCATTAGAAGCGGGAAAGCTTCCCCTTTAAAATGGTTTACGGCTTTTGACGATCCGACTTCCCGTTTTCGAGATATCGTAATTTATGTAAAAGGGTAATTTTTAAAATTCCGCTCTCCGCCTTACGAAAGTCTATTAACGCGTATTAAAGATACTGAAACTTTAGACGCGTGTAGTTCCGAAACTACCAGTGTTTTCTGCATAACTCAGCCATCGTTGGAAGCGGCAAATCCTCCCCTTTAAAATGGCTTTTGAATTTTGTCGATCGGACTTTCCGTTTTTGAGATATCGTAATTTATATGAAAGGTAATTTTTCTTAATTCGACTATCGCTGTCTCCGTCTGACGCGTCACGTACCTCTCTCTCGCGCGTGGCCGAGTGACCTACTTTCAATGCGCGCGTGCGGTCAACGGCCTTGCCAAGGCCGTAGTGGAAGTTCATTCTCCTCGCGACGTAAACAGACGTTTCGGATCCTTATACATATATCTCCGAAACTAGCCATCGCAACGACTTAAAACTAAAATCCTCGTATCTCCGGAACTAATTGCGCTATCGACTTGTTTGAACGCTCATTTTAAAGGGCATTTCATCTTCTATCTAACGAACGTAACTGCTTTTATAATTTATTTTTTCTTCCATGTTTATTCTGCAATTTACTTTGACGCGATCGACTTGAAACAAAAATCACTATATCTCCGGAACTAATTAAGTTATCGACTTGTTTGACCACTCATTTTAAAGGGATATTCATCCTCTATCCGACGAATATAACGACTATTATAACTTATACTGCTTTCTATGTTTAATTTGAACTTTACTTTGACGCTATCTACTCAAAGTAGTTTCAACAATTCCTATTGATTGTACGACTGGTGCACGATAAAACTGGCTTATAAATTGTTAATTTAATCGAAAATGTATTTAAATTCGTATATAGGATGTTTGCGTAATTACTAGCCAGCATAATTGTTTTCTCTGGAACTAAATGGGTGTACACGAAGCGTCGGTAGGCTTACTGTTAACGTTATTTTGCAATAAGTTGAACTCGTCGTACTCGATGTGTGCTTGATAAAACATTTGTGATTACGAATAATATAGTTAGGAATGGCTCGTATACTGGAAGAGGCTCACTGGTTGTACGAGAAGAACGTGTCGGGCGTGCTATTCCCTCGAAGTTACAACCTCAGCAGAGAACCGAAAGCTTTCCTCGAGGATTTTCGACTGACCGCCACCGCCGGCCTGTTAAAGTGGTTCGTACAAAGAATGCAAGACGACCCGGAGAACACGTCGGACCCGGGACATCGTACGATTCCAATGAGCCGACTGGAATTCGCCATAAAACGGTGCGAGGAATTTATTGCTTGCGCGAACCATAAGAACATAGATGAAGACTTTGTCACCGAGCTTTCGGAGGAAGAATGGAATTCCTTTTTGGAGGATTACGCCACGGCCGTTCACGAAGGAGGCGGAATCGAAAATACGTCGGAGAAGGGTCAAGAGTATCTACAAGTACGTTAACGGCGTTCATTTGACACGAAATTGCACGAAGCTGAAAGGCAGGCGTTAGAAACTTAAAGGGAATTACACTCTTCGTCTACTTCCTCGCTTTCATTAATCTCAACACGGACTGGTTATTCTCAATTCGCGACGTGACATTTTTCCCGGATGTTCCGTTACTCTTCTCTTAAACGAATTAACTGGATTTATCGGGCGAAATTGTCCCGGGTTTTGTCGAACGCGACTGTATTTTGTAGAAGTTTATCGAGGCAGCAAAATCGACCCTGTCGAAATTGAAGGAGGTCGATCCGCAGTACGAACTGAACGGAATGCGAAATACGTGGATCCTGAAGCCGAGCGAACTTTGTTGCGGCACCGGGATTAGTATTTCCCACAACTTGAGAGACATATTCCGGAAGGTAAAAAGTCGACCGAAGGATTACTTCATCGTACAGAAATACATCGGTGTGTATTTTTAAAATCTAGAGACTTACTCTACGAGTCGTTGATTATCAATTTCCTATTCCCACGTTTACAGAACGTCCCCTATTGATTCACGATACGAAGTTCGACATCAGGCAGTGGTACCTGGTCACTAGCACGTTTCCCATGACGATATGGTTATACAAGTAATTAAATTTAATTTCGCTCGTTCGGAACTCGTATTTAGACCGTGGCGGTATTCTGCGTCGATATCCATGGAATAAATTGCGAGCCAAAAGGCGAAACGACGAACGAAGTTTGCGCGGCGATTCTTTAAAGAAATACTCAGCGGGAAGGCGCTTTCGAATTTTTCTCAAAAGCATTTCCCCGACGGAGATTCGACTAGATTCCATCAAAGAATTTTCTCGATCCTCTGCCATCCTTTTTCTATCAGGGAGGGACTGCTTCGGTTCAGCTCGAAGCCCTACACTTTCTCAACTTATCACGAGGCGATTCATATCTGCAATACCGCCATTCAGGAGAAGTACGACGAGGAGAGACGGAGAAGAAGGAAGCGTGGAAATTCGGAGGAAGTCGTAAAATCGGTTCGCGATCAGGGATGGGACTGCGAGAAGCTGAACGAATATTTAAAGTAATCTCTCGACCGGTCTTCCAGACTTGTATGAGAACTTTCGGTTATCCGTTCGTTACGCTCGATAGCCCATGGGGATCACGAGATTGATAGATCCGGTGTGCAAATATGCTCGGGAACCATGTACTTTCCTGTCGGGTAATCGGCTCTATCTTTCTATCCGTGTTTCGACCAGGGTTACAGCTTTTTCAAACGTTCGTTTGTCTCGCGTTTAAACATGCTCATCGAGGCTTCGCGGATAAATAGATTCACGAGTTATATACGAAAATTCAAACGTCGGTATAAAATATGGAATAGAAGGTATAAATCAACGTCTAAAGTAAAGAAATCGCTGGCGCGTTTAAGTGACTGTCACGGTTGGGCATAAATCTGTCGGTCAGGCGTGCCAGTATGTGTCATGGGCGTGTGCGTTAAGGGATTAATGCCACACTTTACCCCGGGTCGTGCAGCGATAGTTACAGGGACAGGTGAACGTTCCTGGAATTGGGTGCTGTTATCTATCTACGGTTCACTCGTTCCTAGCTACACTAATGTTGCATCGCGCAGAAGATGCTATTTACTTCCCCCTGGTGACTGAGACGATCCGAAATAAAGTCTCGCGCTCGAATTGTTTAGATTAAACCGTTCCTTGGGGGCTCTCGAGACAGACCAAATCACCACCGTAAATACTTTAAAAGCGCAATTGCGTCGACGCTACCGATTTCTTCCAAGTATTTTCGAAAGTTTGGACCCATAGAGTGTACTGATAAAATTTGGCCGTTCGTATCTAGGATGCTCCGCGGAGCAAGTTCGCAATCGACGATGTAACGTTCTGTTTGGCAGGCAAATGGGACTCGAGGGCGAACCGTATTACGACCGGATTTACCCGAAAATGTCGGAAGCTATAGTTCTGACGATGTTGGCCTCCCAAGAACACATGGACAGGCGACGTTGCAGCTTCGAGCTGTACGGAGCCGATTTCGTCGTGATGGAGGACCTTTCCGTCTGGTTGATCGAGATCAACACTAACCCTAGGATGCACCCACCTAGTTCGAGAATTACCAAACGCCTCTATTCCGGTGTCCTCCAGAGCTTGGTTAAAGGTTAGCAAACTAGGATCTATAGGGGATCGTAGACACAAGGAAGTTGTCAGGAACCGAGACTGCGGGGGAAAGTTTCCGCGAATGGAGAGGTCGGGACAAGACAACGGGTAGCGTATCCTCCGCTGTTTCTCTGCAAATACTCCAACGAGCTTTTCAAATCGTATAGTATCGACTGCTAGCTTTCCGGTTTCTGATTAAACAACTTCGCTGCCGGGGAATACGAATCGACCGGGCAACCTTCGACTCTTTCGTCAAAATGACCTTCGCCCTCTCCGATCGAATCTAGGTCGGGCGTCGAAGCATCTGCATTTCCTTTCTTCTTTCGTTACACATCAGTCAGTTTCCTTTTTCCGGACCTAAAATTTTCAAAAAATTTATAACTAATGAAAATATTGTTTAGCTCGATTTATTTAGAACGTTCTAATTAACACTATTCCTACCACGACAGGTCAAATGACCGTTTTTAAAATTTCGTTTAGAATCTCCTATATGTATACAACGTAATTGCATCACCTTTAAACTTCACGTTTTTCCTAAAATATACCTATAATACTTTTTTCAATATTCAGTTCTTTTTTTATTGTTTATTTTCTGAGAAAAATTTGTAGTCCGTCTTACCTACTACGACCGGTCATTTTACCGGTTGAACGATTTATATCTTTTTGTAACAGTATTATCTCGATGACTCAATTCTAAAACTATAAAGTCGTAACAAACGAAAGATAATACAGTTGTGGCATGATTTTAGCTGAAAAGTGCCTTCGAGAGACTGCTTTAGGCACTTCCAAGTGTTCATAATTCTCACTCGCCTATCGGCCTTACGGTGTTTATTTGCCAGACTGGTATCTAAAGTGGTCCAAAACCTCGGATTTTCTTACACCATCTTATCTATTATAACTGTAAAATAAATAAAATCATGACCGAAGGGGATGCCTAGACGACTTCTCACGAATTCAAATCAGTAAAGTCTTGTGATTCGAACAGAGGGCATCAAAACGTGAAAGTTGCCTGGAGCATATTCGACAGTCATTTATTATTTTATATTTTATCATTATTCTACTCTTATTTTATCTGAATAAAAGAAACTATATTTTTATACTGTAAAATTGGCTATTATCTTCATTCCATATCAAAAAATATAAGTTGTGCTGAAAACCGCTCATTTGACCGGTCGCGGTAGGAATAGTGTTAATAGAATGTATTTTTGTTCGGTACTGTACATCGAATACGCAACGATGACCGATGTAAGCCAATACGGAACATTACGGGAAGCGTCAAGAACGAAGTACGCATTCATTTTATTCATTAGGCGCGCAAATGGTTCTGCAAAATCACATCCGTCCGCCTTGATACAATTAATTTCCTGCTCCGTCTTTTCCTTGTCGTTTTATTAATTTCAGTCTCGTTCTTCGTGATATTCTGCCACGCAGTTCTCTCTGTTCCGCGCACAAAACTGCTTTTCGCACGATATAAAAGATGTCTACCTTTCGGCGGTCGTCAGGTGGTTCCGACTGCGACACCATTGTACAAACCGAAAGAAAGTTCCTTTATACGGGATACTTCTTTAGTCGAGTTTAATCTAATACTGGTATTAATGCGACCGCGTGTATTCAATCTCACCGCGACGAAGGTATCTTTTCAAACTCGGGGATACGCGTCTCCCAGGGGCACTCCTTGTCGTTTTGTTAACGCAAATTGGGCGATCATATATAAGCGTGACAATCCTTTAGAATTTTCGCGAAGAATCGTTTCCACTAATTTTTAAATTATCGTTGCGCCCAAGTTTACAGTGCTCGGCCACAATGGCACGGGAAATATAAATATACAATAGTTGGTTCGAGTTGAAAAGAGTTCACCGGGGAACAAAGAGGAAACTCACGACGATGTACGTGTAAAGTACACATGGACAAAATACGTGCTCGACCTCGATCGTGACGACCGAGGAAGAGAGACGGATAGATTTATTCGAAAGGGCGTCAAATAATTGTAATTATAATGTCGAAGCGCGGTAGAAGCGTCGTAATTTAAATTACTCGATGGTAATAATATTAGTAACGCTGTTGTTGATAATAGCAATGTGAATCGAAGACCGCAAATCATTATAACCAAAATTATTCAAGTTATGGTATACAAATTGATATCATTGTTTAAACGTTAATTACCAATAGCGTAATGACTGCGATAGCGAAGTGATTACAGTTTATTTGGTTATCGGAAACCGCTATCGATAATGGAAATTGAGAAAATCTTGATTAAAAAATGATCGGGTTTGGAAAGGGAGAACAGATCGGAGCGAGAAACGGAGGAGATCGTTCGTGATCGGCGCTGATTTGCAATCTGTTTCAGTGGTAATGGACGTACCCATGAACGAGGCCGCTGACACGGGCGGATTCAGTCTCGTCTACAAGCAAAATATACCCGACTTCCACCCTTATCTCGGTCCCTGCCTCTTCGTGTTTGGCAAGTCGATAACGCTGCAAGAGCAGCCGCGTAAACGCGACAAGAAAAAGGGAAAGACGAACAGCTGGGCCAAGCAGCAGCAACAGCAGCAACAGCATCACCGTGCTTGGACCGCCCCACCTATGATACCGCGATTGAGAGAACCGAAAATAATCGACTTTATCGACTACTTGAACACCGCCAGGGCTGTCAATTAAACTTACAAGCATTACATTAGCATCCCTTACTCTCGTCTTAGTTCGTTTAGAATCGTTACGACCAGTATGCCCGGGGTGAAAAACTTTACCTCACGCAATAGTACGTGGCTATCGATGAGTCTCGTTTGAAATGTTAAAAAACTCTAAAATAAAATAATATCGGATTTCGAAAATTTGTTTGTTATCGACGGGTGCATTCGGTCATCGGTATATGAAAATATTCGTATTTGATAAAAATGCAGTTGTTCGAGTGCCACGTTTCAAAATAGAAACTGGATTTCGTGAAAATGAAAAATGCTAGCAAGTAGGTTTTAAAAAGCAGATCTCTAATAAAATTGAGGTAAGTGTGTAAATTGAGTATAGGGGTTTGGGAGAAAAATGTGTACCTGGACAGGCGGCGTTGTTACGTAGCAGAAGTTAGCGTTCGCGATCGCGTTATTTTCGGGTCGACGAACTCCATCATCGCGCGTTAACCGAGAAATGGAAAATTGTATTCTATTCTCGGCCGAGTTTGTTGCAGGTCGAGAATATTCGGGGCTGGTCGTATTTAACCGGTTCCCTCGGCGGTCGGCGTCGCGAGCACGTAGCTTCCCGGGAAAAGTCAGTTGCACCGTGGTGTAATTAATGGACGCAAGATAGACGAAGTAATTAACGCTGTCATTAGCCGGTGCCGTCGCTGCGTCGACGTTTCTTTCGGCAAGTTCCTGGCTAGAAAATACTGAGGGCTGAATGTGCTTGCGGGAGCTGAAGAGGAGAATCCACTTTTCGTGCGAAGTCTTTTATATCGTTCGCGGCGCGACGGAAACAAATAGTGCATCGAGGTAAGGCTTTATGCATACGGAGCTACGTTATACGTATTTCGGAGTATAATTTTTTTTTTTTTTTTCGCAGCCGAGCGTTTCAGAGAAAATATTTTGTCGCTCGAAGCGCGACGGAAATCAATGGGCAAACATTTTTCGGGGGCCGTACTGAAAAAAAAATATATATATATATATAGTGGAAATTCCTGAAACATAATAATCGTTCCCCATTGTGAAATGCGATCCTATTCGTCGACATCGAATAGATAAACTGGGTTAAAACGAAACCAGCGTATAAAAGGGTACGAAATTAATTTTCGTCGAGCGATCGATACCCAGCGGCAACCAACCGGAAAAATAACCGTAAGATAAAGACAATCGTTTTATTGATATGTACATACAATAAATTTATTTACAAATAATACAATAAATTTTTTGACGTCGTAAGTTATTCGTTCTTGATGATATATCTTAACAAAATACTACGCTCTTACCGATTATTGTGCCGTGCTGATATTCGAAAACTCTTTTGGTCACGGAAATTCAATGTAAACGTAGGTAATATTCGGTTTTACCCTGCACAAATATTTACCCAAAAAACGTTAACGATCGTAGGCGATGCGATTCACCGAAATCGCGATCTATTATCGTGTCCCGCGAGTGTTTCTCCCTCTCCTTCGGTTTTCACTATTCCCCCGTTATATAAATATTACGATAACTATTAATAAAATTATAAAACACATTGGCCGTGTTCGGGCGTACGACGAACTTCCTTCTCCGTGGTGCATCGCGGCCGGGTGCTCTTCTGCAACAGAAACGTTTTCCTCTAACGAAACTTTTTAGATTCGTACAGATCGATTTGTTTTTTGCCTAGGGGTTCTTATTTCGTTCTCTTTTATAAATTCCGTAACAGGTCGTGTCCGGACTTGAATGGAACGCGATACCGGTGCAACGGTTCGAACAATTAAGAGAAAGAACGATCAAACAGACGTTCGCGAGCGGATCAGTCAGCACGATGACGGTGATAAATCACCGCCGTGCACGACGTGTCGCATCGATCTGCATTCGCGTCAGGTAAGGCCGTATAGGCGGCCATTGTACCGAGCAATTAGCGCTTGAAGTTGATAAATAACATACCGGAAACTCGGCTTAACTTATTTCGAATTATCGTTAAACCCACGCGTCCGCTTTCAATCCGTGATAAGGCGCGCTGTAATAATTTACACGGCGAAGGTGAAACAATTATTTCGACGTTCTTTTCCTCACTCTGTTATCGATGACGCCAGGCGTTAAACAAACCCCGTATTATTTTACTTCGTTACCATTCCACGTTTCTAAACGCAATCAACCCCTTCCCGTGGCATTCCGTTCGACGAAATCCGGGTCCAAACGGTAAACGTTGCTTTGTAACAGAAATTATAAGAATCCTGACCAACTTTTGTGGCATACTGACAGGAACTAAAACTCAATGACGACGATCGTGATTTGATGTCCGCGAGCCTGGCTCGTGATATTCAGGTTTGGGCCAAAATCTTTGTCACGAGTCAGACTCGTTAAAGTACGGGAAGGGCTTTCTTTCGAAGCGAATAATCGAGAGAGCGCTCGAAAAATCATAAAAAGATTTACCAGGTGTGCCTTGATTAAGGAGCCTTTCTACTTTGTGGGATTTGAAAAATCGAATTTTCTTTTAGTATGTAGCCTCGAAATATGTAGATACCAAATATTAAATTGAAATTTGAAAAACAAACGAAGTTATAGTCTGCTGAAATGCATCGCGCGCAGGTGTAACAACTGAACTTTGAAGCTGTTTTTCTCGAAACTACATTTTTCGGCACTGCGTAGACGATACCATGAAAACTATTCAAGATATCAACATGAAATTTATACAGTATCTTTAGAACTAGTCTCTCGATGGCATGAACTAGGATAATTGTGATATATGCAATAGTTTTTCTTTTATTAACAAAAAAGCAACCGAATATATGAAAATATTCAGTATTTTTTCGTAAAATAGCTGCCATTATGCCATTTTTTGTTTTTTTGAAAAGATCCTAGTTCGTGCTATAACCACACTCATCTACATTAAGAATATCGTTGGTTTTTGGATTTCGGATAACTTGTTCGCAAGATATCACATACGCAGTCGGGCGCGATATTATGCGTTGCAAAAATTCGTAAATATAGCTAAGTATATAATAAATGCATCTACAAAACCCGAAATTAATCGCTCTTTAGTAGCCCTCAAAAAAAAAATCACAAAGGAACATGTATTTTTGGCGCCTACAAGGTAGAATGTCCCCTTAACGCACGTCCTGCTCTGTTCGTATCCTATTTTGACAAATATTGTGACACCTATCGTAGCATTCGACAATATTACAATTTCACCCGTTCTTCGAGTAAAAAGATATCAATTATCCTTTCATCCGCGTTCGAAACGAAAGAACAGTTTGATCCATCAGCGAACGCGCGGAAGAAAGGAAAAATTGCCCCTCGGGAGCGTTTCGTTGGAAGGTACACCGCGAAAGAATGCGTATTCGCGTAACAAAGCTCGGTTTCGACGTTACGGTTGTGTACGAATTTGAAAAGGAACACCGGCTGGTCATTATGCATCGTGACTGACGCGACCTTTGCAGAGAAACGCGAAACTTGAGTTAACCACACGAGACTTCACCGTTTGATTCATGGATGTCGGGCGCGCCATTGAAATTGGTAAACCGTGTCAATCCCGTGCGTCAAATCCGCTCGACGTCGGCTTTCAGGGAATTTATACGAGCGAGACTAGCAGATCGATTGCGCCAGGCGTCGGTTCTAGGCCACGCTCGCGCGACGCTCTGTCTTGGAAGAAGAAACGCTCAAAAATATTTATCAGTAGATCAATCAGCGTCGACGGTCAACGGCCGGTTCCGGTCTTTTCAACGAACGCGACGAGAAACATTCCGCATCGCTTACCGTTGACAACGTGCACCTTGATGCTGCTGGGGTTCGCGTTGCTCGGCTGGCAGGTATAGATCCCGGAGTCGCTCGGTACCGCTTTCTGGATCATTAAACGGCTGGTCGTTTCGGGGCCTTTCTCGGTCACCAGGCTGATACCGCCTCGCGGCGAATCGAAATTAATTACCTGCACGAACAAATAAAATTACCTTTACGCGAACTCGTTTAACGGGATTCGCGCGACCAAAATCCTCCGAGGTCTCGACTTTGGGCCACCGATTGATCGACGACGGTTCAACAAGCCATTCTATGGGTTTTCAGATTTATTTAAACAGTCTTTACATTTTATTGGAATCGTAGGGTTATGGGTTGTATTATTTTAATTAAACAACAATATTTAACTGTAGAATTTCGGCTTTATTGTAAGCGTGAAGATACAGTGGCTCACGAAAGTATTCGAACGCTTACATATGCAAACTTGAATGGTCGAAATAATGTACATTAACCCTTTGCACTCCAAATTATATTTCAATTTTGATACCAGCAGCTCCCAACGCTTTCAAGTGTTTTATTTGAAATTTACGTTAACTAAAAAATAAAGCAATTTAAACAAATAGAGGAACAAACAAATTTAATTAAATATCTGCTTAATTTACACTGATGTTGTATTTTGTAATTTTCAAGTGTATGATATCTCTTGAAACTTGTTTCGCAAAAAAAAGATTGATTTCCCTTCTTCCTTCAGGTATTTCTCTGTTTGAGCAAACTGCACAAACTTTATGCTTTCTTTCGGAATGTACGAAAATGAAATTGAATTCTATTGGTTTGAACTTGAAAAAATGTCGAGCGGGACTCGACAAAGGAGCACCTGACATAAGAACTGATGTCAAGTCACGCTCCACACAGGAGTGCAAAGGGTTAAAGTAATTTGCTGAAACAAGTAGATGCCAATAGGAAGATGGAAGTCTTAGAAGATGGAAGTAGGAGTGATGATACATTTATTAGAAACACGCATGGTAAGTGACTCACAAAAGTATGTGAACGCTACATGTATTATTAAATTATTTAATATTAATATTTTGTTGGACTACCTTTAGCAGCTATAATGTCTTTTAGCCGACGTTCCATACTTAAACCAATGATTTTGTAAAACTACACTCAATGGAGTTCCATATTTCTATAATTTTATTTTTCAGTGTTTGCTTTGATATTATTTGAAATTTATTTAATCTTTTTCCGATTTCAAACCATAAATTTTCAATCGGATTCACGTCTGGACTTTGCGGTGGAGTATTTAACATGTGTGGTGTGTTATATACGATCCATTCTTTTACAAATCTAGCAGTATGCTTCGGATCATTATCTTGTTGGAAGTGGAAATCTTCCAATAATCCTAGTTTACTGGCACTTTTTTTAAGATTATTCTTTAAAATATTTAAATACATATATTTATCAAGTATTCCGTCAATAAATATTAAATTTCCACCTCCGTGTTTCATTGTTTGATGTAAATGTCGAATTTCCAATTCTGTATTTGGTTTTCTCCATACATCATTTTGACCATCTGAGCCAAAAATATTAAACTTTGACTCGTCCGAAAAGATGACTTCATCCCAAAAAGAATTATCTTTATTAATGTAGGTTTTCGCAAAAGTCAATCTTTTTTTACGATTTACTGCATTAATATATGGCTTCTTTCGCGGTACTCTGCAATGAAAATCATTGTTTCGTAGGATTCGTCGACATAATTCCGGGTGAACTTCTTTATGAAACATATCAGCTACCATATTTGCGAGTTGAGGAGCGGATATAGTACGATTTTTTTTTAATTCGCGAATGATAATTTTCTCCTCTCTTCCAGTCAATTTCTTTGGTCGACCTGCTCGAGCTTTGTTTGCAAGTGTTCCTTTATTCTTTGACTTTTTCATGATATAATGTATTGTAGACTTACTTCTGTTCACAATCCCGGCAATCTCGTTATACGATTTGCCGTTCTCATACAATTGTAATATTATTTCTCATTCACACTTTTTGGTTTCAGACTTTTTGGTGGTCATTTTAAATATTATTCCGCACACTTTTACGTTACTGTTACTGAAACGATATCCTAACATCAAGTGAACGTACCAATATTTCTATTTAGCAATGATGTTTACATTCGGTGCAAAGGAAGATGAAAAACTATCAACAGTGTTACAGCGTTCGAATACTTTTGTGAGTCGCTTACCATGCGTGTCTCTAATAAATGTATCATAACTCCTACTTACGTTGTTGAATCTTTTTCAAATTTTACTGGCATAATCTTAAGACTTCCATCTTCCTATTGACATCTACTTGTTTCAGCAAATTGCTTTAATGTACATTTTTCGGCCATTCAAGTTTGTATATGTAAGCGTTCGATTACTTTCGTGAGCCACTGTATATCTGAGAGTATAGCGCAGTTCGCCCTAGCGACGAACTCTTATCTTTGTATAATAAATACCATGAGTTCGTAGAACCCACGGCCAAAACAGGAAAGATACTTTACACATATACAGTAGTCGCTGGGGATTCAACACATTTGACAGACGAGACTAATAATCTTGACCAGCGCGACAAATTTTTGAACAACGCGCAGACGCTTTTAATAGTCCCAGTTGGTTTCCTTTCGTTTCTTTTGTTTCGACACACTTTACACTTCCATCGGGGTTTCAGTTTTCCTGCTGTAGAGCGGAGTGCACACGAGACAAAGGTCTGAGCGGTATAAATCTCATCGTGTGTAGAAACGTATCAGGTTGCGGGAGGTGTTGTTAAAGCGGTCGTGGCGAGACCACCGAGGATGAGAAACTCGAAGCGACAAAAAATTTTATTCATCGCGATCGCTTACGTTTAGGAGGCGAACTTCTACCACCGAAGTATCGAAAATATTTTCGATAATCAGATCGTACGAGTCGTAACGATCGCACGTTATTTGCAAGGGAGCGTTCCGGCTCGTTTTGATCCTTTTTACGTTTGGCGAGACGAAACTCTCGCGAGAATCACGGTATACGATAGGCAACCACTTCCAAAAAGTAAGAACTGAAGCCATTAAGAGGAACAGAATCGAAATGGGATCCATTTCTTTCCGGGATTAGGTCTGGATTGCTACTACGCGCTCGAAAAGAATTGCATTCGCTTGTCGGTTACAAATTCTATCGGACTTTGCAACGAGAATCTTGTAAATCGAGACCGAATAGTGCTATATTAGTTTAAATTAGATAGACGCGTATTATAGAATAGGTGACTCTGCTCTACAAAGGTTGAATACAATTTACAACGGTCCGGATTAAAACTTGATTTACGCTGACTACCCAAACGGGTAAGCAACAGCTTGACCGAAGTTGTCGAGTGTACCACGTTTAAAGAAATACCTTGTTTTTTTTTATCCTAAGACATTGTGAGAGAGTCTCATCGTGTAACTACGACGACGACTTTTGATGGCACAGAAGATAATACGTGAATCGTTCGAAAATTTTGCAGAAAGATTGTCAAGCGTAACATTCCCTATATTTTTGTGTTACGGCTGTAACGTTCGTGTTTCGCGCGATAAGTATGGATTACACGTTTCGCCCGTGGCGTGCGCGCAGTTAAAAAGAAACAATATTGGATCCCCAGGTACATCCGACTTCTGGTTCGCGCAATCATTTCTTCAAAGCTGCCGCGTCTGCTTTCTCATATTCCCATGGAAACTGCGGCCCCAGACCGTCGGATTCTCACTCCGTCGAGTAATACCGTTCCCGTGTACCAAGACAAAAGGTATTTTGCTTCAAGGTTCGTGAAAAGAATGGTAAAAAGATAGCTACGGTGCATGCGAGCCGCGCTTCCCTCCGCGCGATCCCTTTGACCGAGCACAAAGAAGCTCGCGAAAACGTAGAATGAACGGCGAATGCTCGGTTACCCGTGGCATTAACTATATGCCTCATATTATATTATCGCGTTACATACGCGAAAGGTGCTGGGATCTGGGAGAATTCGAGCACGATAACGATATTCGAGATTTCGAGGTTTTCAGAATCCCACGCATCTGTGGAGAATATACAGAAAAATGGAGATGCTTGTGGATAAATTTTAGCTACGAGCAGGACACTGTAAACTCACACACGAGTATCTAATGAAAAAAACCGAACCACCAGCCTGTTATCTGTGCAATATGTAGAAGTTACAACGTCCAAAGATAAATATACAAGTTAACAGAAACATATAGAAAATACCCTGAAATATCTCAAAGAAACCAACATCTATCACACAATATAACCACACCAAAAGAAGCGAACCCAGCACCAAATCGTCGCTAATGACTCGAAGGTCGATGCGACGTAAAACATGAATTATAGCCCTTGAATGTTTGATTACCGGAATATTATTTGCACGAACAAAAACCGACGTTATACTCGCCTGTGTGTTGTGGCTCCAGTTCATCATGGGCGGCGGTTCTGGAGCGTATTTAACAACGCAAGTCAGGTTAATGGTGCTGCCCTTGTTGACAAACAGATCGGGCGCACCGATTATAATGGTAATCGGCTCTGAAACAGAATTTCATACATTTAAATGATTCTATGGAAAAATTCTAACACGTTTTGAAATATTGCTCGGCTTATAAAACGAAATATTAATCTCAATATCTGGCACCGTGATTACGAGCAGTTTATAGCAAAGACATGTGTTTATTTATGCATTATTACTTGGCCTGCAACTATGAAGGAACTGCCGCGCGTGTAACCTCTCGCATAATGATTGATCGCCCGACCTGTAACGGGTTCAGAGTAGAAAATAAGTTTCGTAAAACTTTGTATCGATCATTGTGCGAGTAAAGACGATGTACGAGTGGTTGGCCGACTATAAATGCAGTCAGAAATGAGTTACTAATACGTTAAACAGCTCGAGTTATCAATCAAGAGGCAAGCCCGTGTAGAAAATTTCAGCTTTCTAGCACGCTCCGTTTTCTAATGGCCGTGAATGGTTGTATTCGATGATGCATTTACGTAGATTGCAATTTAAAGCCTTTTGAATTAGCTGTGACTCGGTTAAAATCACTTTAATTAGTCGAAGCTCCATTTAGTCCGAAATTATTATTTGGATTTTATCGATTCCCTTCGGATACCAGATATTAATGCTCTCGATTTACCGAGGGTTCGTTTGCTGGTAACATCAATTAATTAAAATTTCTTCTATTCACAGAAAATTCAGATCAAATACTCCATGAGAGATATTCGCGCGATCCAGACGAAGCGTCCGTAACGAGACCCTTTTAACTTTTAACCGATTCCGTTCAATCCCGATTACTAAAATAAATCTTGAATACGTGATTTCACTTTTCTTACACGTACATCGAGTAATACAATATAAATATAAATGGACCTTTGACTGGTCTATCCCAGTTGTCGAGTTTAGAACACCTTGTATAACTCGTGGAGTGTATCGGTGATACGTTCATAATGGAAAGGAACTGAAATGACAATATAATAGATAGTTGAAACGGCACGACGTGATATTATATTATATAAATGGCCGATATTTTTATCGCGAGGCGAAATATGGAAGTTTTCAGGTCAAGTCGGTGTGATAAGATCCTCTCATTTAATAGTGCGGCTCAGTTAGGTTTCAGGGCAGTCATTAATGGTATACCTGCGAGGATATATGAGCTTGCAGACGGCCTGGTTTCACCTGCTTTGTACACTCGTATGAAGTCTTTGCATGGATTTCGTACGTATCCTCGATTAACCCCTTTCACGCGGTTCCACTGCGCGACTGTATGTACACCTATCTCGAACCGAGTTTCAAACACATTGATCACGGATACGCCCGTACACCTTTCCGCCCATCCTCTTATTTATTTTTTTTTTCTTTTTTTTTTTTTAACGCACCGTTTCAATTTTTCGCGTCAAATCCATCTCGTAACGTTTCGGAATACCTTTTATAAAATCTCCGCCTTTCAAACGAACCGACGATTTTATTACTTGCAAAAGACGAGCGACGCGAAATTATCGGAATAATAAACCCGCACAATGTACCGTTCATTAAATTGGCAAAATATTAACTTTGAACTTGACTGCAAATATCGCGGCGTTTTGATGTTTATGATAACCTCGAGCCACGTGACAAATTTCGACGCGAATAATGATCTCGATTTTCTGTAAACAAATGCTCTCGAGAATTGTGCAATTTTCCGCAATAACGAAGCGACGGTAATTAAGTTGTCAAAAGTCGCATATACTAATTCAACGTTGCGTCCGATGTATTCGAGTGCAATGAAACTTGAGTAGTACGTGCCATAAGTTTTGGAATACTTACCAACTATCGTTAGATAAACAGGATGACCTATAGGTGGTGTCGTTGATATTTGGCACTCATAAATCCCAGAATCCTTGCGCTGGGGATATCGTATCCTCAGCGTCCATTCTTCGGTGTGCGGATAGTGCAGAGCTTCGAAACGCTGGTCGCTCGTGTACGTGTAACGACCGACCGTTAATAGGTGTATGTCTCGATGCCTCACCCAGGATACCTGCGACATAATAAAAACGTTTCGCACGATGCTCCCAGACAATGTCCAATAAATCAGACTGTGAAACAACGATATTATATTCCCAAAATCAGTCGTTGTTTGCTGTTCCGTTGACATTTAAGAGTCGAATAATTCATTTTAACAAACGATCCTCGATAGAAATAAAATGTCACGATGAGGGCGTATTCCTTTCATTCACGAATGTTGTCGATCGTGGGTAAAAATAGGTCAGATTCGCTGGTCGTGATAATTTTTACGGTCATTCGATGGAACAAATTCCTTTGGATGGAACCGACGTATAAAAACCTGATACCCAGATCGCGGCCACTGTCCTGTTAATTCCGAGGTCAATTGGACGAGCCTCGCGCGTATTTAAATCAATATTCTGTCGACAATATCAATGAACTGTGAACGTAATTCCATGGAGTGTTGCGTTCTCTGTGAGTTACATTTACATTCGATTGACCTTAATTGTTGCTCAAAGGGCGGTCGGCCCGTTGCGATGATAATCGTCGAAATCGTTTATTTGATTTGCACACAATATAATTTATAACTTTTTCAAAAAAAGCAACCGAGTATTGTAATTTATAAAAAATAGTTACTGAGGAAGTTGTCTTAGACTCTATGAAGGAGAAGGACTCAAGCGACAGCTTCCTTGTATCCTTCGGGGTTTCCCGTACGTTTATGACTCTGACAACAAAGACAGGGTTAGTTATTTCGAGTCCAATAACGCCCTGGTAGCTATGTGCCAAAGGGTGCTCGTTCGTGATCTCCGGATCAAGGAGGTTCGAGAATAGGCTTCTGGTCTGGGTACTCGCTTCGCCAGGGAATGACACTCAACGTCGGTTATAAAATAAACGGGGAACGTAGTGGCAGAACTATTCCTGGTATTACTTTCGAACGATTCAATTTTCTCGCAGGACGATAAAATAGAACTCGAAGGGTTTTAAACGTTCGAGCAAGAAACTCTCTTTTGTACCGATTAGCTGTTCGCTCTGTCATAAAATTCCAATTTTGGGGGAACAATGTTTTATGCGGACGGAAGCGTTCGTTCGATTATTTCGAGTAGTGTGGAGCGATCGTGAGAAACGGACGGGGCAGGATTCCTGAACGTTTGTCGTTGGATTGGTCGGGATCTTGGGATTAAAGCGCAAACGTCCGAGCGTAGGAGCGGTCGTGATGGCGCGAAGGGTCTTTTCGAGGGTATTTCGTTTCACGGGCGCATCGTCGCATAAACCAATTTTCCGTAACGCTGCCGTCGCGTCGCTGGGCGTCGCGTTGCTCCACTCGAGAGGCGAGTGTGACGTCACCTTGGAGATTCGGTATTGTCCTAGCCGGGCGCGAACCTGGCAGCTGCGGCAGCTTGCGAGTTCTCGAGATGACACCGGTGTGTCATCGGCATTAGTCGCGGCATTGTTTGGTGAAATTCAACCGAAATCTATGCAGCTCGCGTGATCGTGCGCGGCGCTTTCCATGCACCGAGCGCGTTGCATAGCGCGGTGGTGCATTTATGTGCACGCGAGTAAAGCGAAGCCCATCCAACGACGGGAGCCAAATGTCCACGAATGGCTCCGAGCGAATTTCGCGGTTCCCGGCGTTCCCCGAATTACTCTCCTCTATATCCGCGCTCCTACGATCTCCCTTTACGCGTCCTTTAATTTCCCTCGAATTACCATGGATGCGTTAAATAGCTCGCGCACCGAGATTTATTTACAAGTGCTTTCGGATTTACGTAAGGGCCGTTCGCTGACGCCACCAGAAATCGACAACTGTTGCATTCCGATAAATTCAAGTCCATGGAACTCGCATTCCGTGGGAGTCTGACGATCACGGTCGTTTAGAATAGTTGTTTAAAATCGGGATCCGAATAAAGTGTACTCGTGCAAGTTGAACGCTTTCTAAAGCTGGTGCACTCGCAACGATTACTGCTCCAGCGTTTTGTCGCGTCTGGAATCTTATTTTTTCCAGAGTCTGAAAAAGTTTCAAAGGAGAGTTTAAGAGGGGTAGCTCGCGGTACGCGCTCCTCGTATATTCAACGTACGGGCAGCCTCAAGTCAGTACCGTAAAGATTACGACTTCAATTTCTCTTTTTTAATAAATCATCCTACTCTCCTAGATTCTCGTATCTCTCGATATTCACAATTTCAACACCTTCTCGAACGAATATACGGAATTTAGTCGCTGTTATCTGTTCGCTCACCTTATTATACGGAGACAAGGCAGCATTCGAAATGGGTCATCTTGATACCACCTTTTTAAATTTAAAAAGAGATACGTACGAGGCAGAAGCTGCTTGATTTCGCAGGTACATAGTTAGCAGCCATTTGTAATTTTTTTATTCGCCTTAAACAAACTGGTATTTCAAGTATGCTCCACTTTCCTTATACACGCGGGAGAGAAAAAATAATTAGGCACGACATTTATTCCCGGAATGCGAGCGACCCAGATTCGTCGTCCACGTATCCCTCGTCCGTTATTTTTATAAGTTGATTTTAGAAAGCAATTATTCTACGGTCCAAGTTGTTTCGAAGAACGTACGAAACGTTCGTAAATACGTTTATCGAGGCCGTTGGTACGTCGTTGTTTGCACGAAGAATGTCGCTGATAGGCGCTCGTCTTTCGACTGCCTCTTCCATTGACGCTCGTAGGGATTACAGGATCTTACCGTGAACGAGGACAGAAGGAAAAATGGGATCGACAAAGGGAACGGGGGAACAGGTCTCGAGAAAATAAGGACTCTCTGTGATCTTTGTCCGGATAAAGGAGACTGGGTTACGCCTACTATGGCTGTGTATGTCTGCCAAACTTGTGTGCACAGTCCGAGCTCGTGTTGCTTGCACTTTCCTGTTATCCGAGAACCATGGAACGGTTTAATGATCTCGAGCACTTTCTTCCTGGACATCGTGCCACGGCTGCACTTTGAACAATGACGAGGGAACACAGTTGCGAATGTCTGGAATTTCGCTTTTGGAATGGGAAACGCATCTTTAACCAAAAATAAAAGACCGTCCCCCGATGCTTTTGCTGGATTTAACCAGTTTCGTTTGTACATAAATTTACTGATATTTTAACCGACGTTTGCTCACGACAGTCATGTTGCTCGAATATTACGGCCAGAGACGAAACACGAATATCGGGAGTTAATTGTACGAGTGTGTGCAGAGGCGTGTGTAAATTGTAAACACGTGTGTTTTAATACCGTGCGGTACAAGGCGGTAAAAATTGGCGAGATAGCGGAGAATTCATACATCAGCCGCGTGGGAGGGAGAGAGAAAGAGCTGATAATAAATAACAAATATTAAGAGTTTTACAAATATGTAAAGTTTATGTGACAGTTATCCCAAACACCGAGGCGGGGAACGCATTTGACGCGGGTTTTGAAAATATTAATTTATTAAACGGGTAGAAATGCATTGCAATATATAAATCATACAATTTATAAACATTATGGATGTGCGAAATAGTGGAAAACAAAGTTTGTCTATTCATTTGACTACGGTTAATTGCTATATTGTGCCAAAGTATAAGAGGTGTACGATTTGGCTGGCGCGTCTGACCATTATCGACTCTTTCTACTTGAAGCTTCGTACGAAAATATTTCACTCTTTCTTTTCGCCTTTTCGTCTTTTTGCGCGTACAAATACGCCAACGATGCAAACGGGTTAAACAAAGGAACACGCGTGTTAATGAGTTTGCGAACACGAGCGTTTCTAAAACGAGGAAACGAAATTAATTATTTATATTTACGTCAGGTAAAATCAGGATCGCGGGCGATATTAACCGCAAGAATCGGGCAAGACCGTGTCAGGGCTATTGTAATTCCTTCCATTGAGAAGCTCTGAGCCAAAGTCAAACTGCTGTTGATTAGCTTGCGGTCTCTGTATGCTTACTAATGAAGACCGCCATTATCATCGTCGGTGTATTAACAGCCGGTTCTTAGCTGCTCTGGTTAAACACGCCGTGTTCATGTATCTTCGCCTTTGAAAGCTGGCGACTGTTTCAGCTTCCAACGAGCGTTTATAATCGTGACAAACGCAATATGCGTCACAACAGATGAACGATTAAATATACGCTCGCGATCGACCGACGCCCTAAATAGGGATTAAGGAGCGACCGGTATCGAGCGGAAATCTAGAAACGCGTCTCTTCGTGGATTCCACACACGCTGTTCCTCCGTTTCTCGCGCGAACGTATTCCCTCGCTTCGATAGCGAACTTCCGTTTCGCGCTACTCCTACCTTCCGTTCCCGCCCGACGTATCCCTTTTAATCTCCAGAGGATTAACGGTATTACGAAAACTGTAGCACGCTTTGCCACGATTATCGTTAGGTTTCGCCGATCGTGCGTTCAGCCGAGACTAAAGTTCCCGCGTCGAGTGTCTGGTAAACTTTGCGAGACTTAACGTATTCGATCTACGAAGAACATAATGGGATTTTCAACGACAAAACTAAAAAAAATTATATTCGCTGATAGAGAAATCTAGTATATCGTCGTCCGTCAATTATTTAAAATTCTGGTACCCATCGATCGCTTGCCTTTTCGGGATTTTAATCTTTGATACCGTGGTGGTTCGTTCTATCGGTTATCGTCTCAAGCGTTTCCATTAAAATGCATTGGTTATCGAGCTTCTCTTTGAGGAGACTCGAATGCCTTATTCGTGTACAGACGAACTCGACGTTTTAAATATTCAGGAGCCAGCAAGAGAATGATACTGCGTAGACTGATGTTCTCAATGACAGTCCGAGGCGCGCGATCTACGAGATCTATTTATTTCCCTTCGAGTCATTGGCCTCTGCTACCGTGCAAAACGATCGTTTAATAATGGAACGACCGATGCCGAATGAATTTTTTAAACCTGCATGCCGCACAAAAAACCAAAAGAAATTGTTTATTTAACAGATTTATGCACACTAAACTTCATCGTTACGAGTCGATTAATATTATCGAAATTTTACCATACTTAAATTCATTATTTTCTTCTGGCACTATTTACATCGCGGTTCGTACGTTTTCGTCCAAGTCACGATTTACACAGTTCAGAGATCAGGCGAAAGAGGTGAAAATTCTTAGAAACTCACCGTTCGATTTCCCAGGTTTTTCACTTTGCATACCAGATGCACAGTTTTCCCCACCAGACCGGTGAAGTTTGACTGCATGGTGGTGTCGAAATGGGGTCCTGTTCCAGGAGTCGGCCATTCCTCCAGAAAGTCGGTTCGAAAATTTCGTAGACATGACGCTATACCACCTAAAAATTAACCGATTAACGATTAGAACGGCGAATCGTGTCTTAAAATAAAATAAGGAGGACGAGCAAAGCAGGGGAGTCAGGAATGAAATAATCTCGAGCCAACTGCTATTCAGTTAAACGATCTCTAGAGAGCTCACGTAAAGTCTGAACCTATGGGGTGCAGAGACTACAAACTTTCAAAGAAATTAAAATACGACGACTGGTGGACATCCTCGCGACGTTAAAAAAAACTTTGTGAACGCGTATTAGGTTGAAGAAACTTGGGAAACGTCTCCAACGTTTCCATAAACTCCTTTGCTATTTTGTATCTACGTAGAAATTGTTCTTTGGTGTTATTCGAAATGCCGGTGGTTTTCCCTATAAAATCTTCGTTTCTTCATAGAGCGTCATTTATTATTTGGACGGAACGTGTCAACATAGCTGGCGGAATATCGCGTGTGAAATATTGAATACACCCTTAACGAGTATCAACCGCATTCGTTTGGAATTATTTTTGTTCTTTTATTGCCGTTCCAAATGGACCATTCACTACGAAAGGATACGTAATCTGTTTCATCATGCATCGCGGCGTTGGTCGCCACGTTTCCCTGATACGCTCGTATTTGTAGAAATATTGTGTATAGTTATTTCGCAAATATCCACAAATTACGCGCTCTGCAATCGTCGCAAATTCCGTAACTACGTAAACGTATCGGTGGTTGATTTTTTTACAAGCAATTCACTCGTCTAGTATTCGCCGCGGAAGATAGACCGCTGCTTCGCCACATTGCATATTTTTCCAGCAACGCGTTCGCAGGTTGTTTAAAGAGTTTCGCAACATTCGTTTCGAACGCAACATATTTCTGCGAGTTAAACTTTGTTCCGGGGGATCGAAAGCTTTGGCCCAATTTTATTATCGTATAAATTTCGAGCGATTCTATAGAGATATCGCTAGAATTAATTTCACGTCGCTGCGTTTCCTCCGGCGCATTTAATAATACTTGTTTCCGTTCCTTTTGTCACGTTCAATTAAGTTTTTATTCGAATTTCAAACGAAATAATCGAGTAAATGATTTGTGTACTTGTTTGCTCTAAATAATCGTTGGAATAATATATTCGCCGCGCGTTGCTTGTACGAGTGCTCATTAATCAGGGATGAATAATTAATTTTATTAACACAACTGGGATATCGCCTTCGGAATTACTTTGATATCAATTAGGGACACGAATTATTATTTAGCACTTTATATTTTATAGAAGCGTTACTTGAAATATAAGAGTTACAGTCAATGTACGAGCGTAAGTTTATGCAGGGTGTTCGCCCATCCCTGGGAAAGATTTTAATGAGGGATTCTAGAGGCCAAAATGAGACGAAAATCAAGAATACCAATTTGTTGATGGAGGTTTCGTTAAAAAGTTATTAACAATTAAATTAAAAAATTTCAAATCGTCTGGAAAAATTATTCTCGGTTGCGGGGCTCAATTACAATCATTTTTTGTGAATACGCATACCTCCGAAATTCTACCCATTTTCGAGAAAAAAAATCGCGTAGGTGCTGAAATTTTTCGGCGAAAAAAAAATTTCAAATCGTTCTGGAAAAATTATTTTTGGTGAATAGACATACCCCCGAAATCTTGCGCATTTTCGAGAAAAAAATTCAGTACGGGCTCAACTTTAAACGTTAATAACTTTTTAACAAAGCCTCCATCAACAAATTGGTATTCTTGATTTTCGTCTTATTTTTTTAAATTTTTCCCAGGGGTGGCCGAACACCCTGTATTGGTAAGAAAGAAAGACTAGATGGAACAGTTTGGTTTGCAACCGCGTATCCCTCGCACGATTGTAATTAATTTAGTCAACAATTATAGCGATAATCGCTGTTGGTCGACTAAATCGTTAAATACTTCAGCGCGGAGAAGTTGTACCGTGTTGTTGAAAAATTTCCGGCTATTTTTGGAGGCACTAAAGCACGCACCGTCGGTCGATCGCGAATCAGGACGTGTAGGAGGCAGCTCGGCGAGGGTAACAGCGTGTAACGCGACCGACAGTTTGGGGACCATCGAGCTATTTTGCTCCTATTCTAGCGGAATAACATCCATAGAGTGCCATTGTTCACGAATGATCGACTCCCCTTCTCTCTCCGCGCCATTTACCCGTCCCTAAATTGCTCTCTTTGAATTATACGACGGAAGAACGCAAGCAATCGTTTCGTACGCATTTTATTATTTCGCCCCGGGTTCGTTCTCGGTATTTATTTGCGTGCAATTTCATGAACAATTGCCGGTCGCATTGAATTGTAAATTCGTTATTATCTTATCGAGGATAACGTTCCCTGGCCAGGAGGATCGCGAGACGAAAATTTGTCGGCTCGCTTCGGCCGTTCGATCGCCGAACGAGTCGCGTTTACGTTCTTAACAACGTCTCGCAACAACGAGATCGTTCCGCGGAACGAACGTTTAATCGATAGGAACGAGCGAACAGAAATTCAAATAAACTGAAGTGGGATTTAGCTGGCCGGGTAGCGCGAATTCAGCGGGGATCCATTTGTTTTCGGGAAAAGAACAGGCGGCGTAATCGCGGATTCGATCGCCGAAATCCGATCAGAGGTTCAAAGCGGGAATCGAGAGGCGCGTTTAAAGCCCCGGGATCAACGCGAGCGAAGTTGAAACGCGGACAAGAATGCCGGGCCGAGCTTTTTCCTTGCGATTGCTCTTCAGAATCATCCGCGTGCGGAGAGGCACTTTCCTAGTGGGAAATTCTCTTTCGTTAGTTTACTAGACCATGCGCTCGTAGACTACGCTTCGGAGCTTTCCAGTACAGAAGTGGTTAAGACGAGTTCGCCCTAAGCACCACCCAAGATACACGTCCACTCTTCCTACCCACACATTGATTTTCCTCTTTTCCTCTCGGTTCCGTTGCATATCGAATAACCGTTCTACCCGGTCTTCGAATTTTATGGCGCGGCCACGCAAGCGAAACGATACGTACGCGTTGCCATCGGTTTTCGAGCAATGCGTCTCTTATTTAGTATTCTTTTCGAATTCCAAATTTAATTCCAACGACGTTCAACCGAGAGTTTAAGCAGTAAAAATAACCTTGTAAAATATCGTAATATTTGGGCACAAAAATAAATATTGCGTATGTCAGATAGTGATCGAACGAATTTCAGTTAAATGGGTTCCTAGAGAAAAACCATTTAAAACGAAGGGAAAAATCAACGAGCACGAATTACTTTCGCGAGGAAACATTTGAATAGAATACCTCGACAATGGTCAACAGTCGCATTCAACGACGAGTTTAAATTTAATTGATTCGAATCTGATGCAAAAGCTTGACGTAAGCGAAGAATACAAAGAACACGAAATGTGCAAATTTTTTCTATATCGTTGCTTCCATTTTGAAATCGAACAAAAAGTATTTTGCATTTAATCGGGTTCGTTCGACCGAAATGACGCTGTTATTTTTCTTCGTACCACCGAACCGGATTTTAAATTTTCTAAGTTCTTATCGGAAAATATTTTTGCGTGGAAATTTGCTGTCGTTGAAGTTTTTAATATCGGGAAAAAGTTGCGGTACGTTTTTATATCATGCAAATTCGTTTACCGCGCTTTATAGAATTATAATTACAACGCAGGTACGATGTTGGAACGAAACTTGGATTAATAATTTAATTAGAGGTGAAAATAATAGATAAAAATGATTTTGCAGTTTTCACGGTGGAACGATCATTAGATAGCTTTATTTTATTTAGGTTTCCCGCGAATCGACCGAGAAGTTCGTCGTCTCCGAGCGATGATAAATGTTGAACACTGCACAATGATATATCGCAGGGAAGGAGTGTATCGTATAAAACAGGAACATCGACACGGACAATGGCGGAATCTGAAACCTGAGTTAGAAGAAAAGTTATGCTCTATTTACGGCAGGGTAGAAAAGAACTAGCGTATTGTGAATCTTTAAAGGAAGATAAATCTGTCACTTCGGAACGGCAGTGACAACGATTGAACGAATGATATTCTGAACCCCAGAGACTAAGATATTTATAAATTTTCAATTTTTCCAAGTTTTATTTTAATATCGATGCACGAAAACGAATAAAAGTAACGTAGCTGTTTCCCGGTTGCGTGATACACCCTCTGGATTTATTCTCGTCGCGTTATTGCGAAAAGTATAATACAAATCGTTTCCACGGGCCAAGTGCGTGTCGGTGCCTCGGTGTAATTAAAATCGAGTTCGTAAACGTGTCGCTTTCCAAGGAAACGAATTCCCCCGGTGCATTTAGGAACGTATGTTGCTCGGAGAGAGGGAACGTTTTCCGCGTCCAGCTCGTTTCTCGTGGGAAAATTTAAAGATCTCCGGTTCCGTGGACTCTTAAACTTTCGAGCGGGCATACGAGAATTAAGACGAGCTGGCTAAGAGCGCCGCAAGTAGCGCAACCACGACTTCGCCAGTCGTACTTCGACGAAAATTAATTTCGCCCCGGAACGCTAAGGTTGAATTTTCACCGCGACGTGTCTCGACTTTCCACGAAATTCACAGCGACTCGCCGGAGTGACGAAATTGCGCGGACCCGTTGTCTAGAAAATAGTTCCGCCTGGCATTCTTTCGTCGGCCAATTCAGCCAGCTTTTCGGTGAACTTCGTTTCGAGGATTCTCAATCGCGAATAGGTTAAAAGCGGAAGAGCATGCCTGGAAATCTGGATCCTAAAGAATTAACGTTTCGCTAATCTCGACGTGAACGACTCTATTTCTGCTCGCTCGTATTTTTGGACGAATATAAATAAATAAAAAGGGAGGTACAATGATTTATTTTTGAAATCAGTTCGAGAACCTTTGAACCTAGATTTCGTCGGAACGAAATATTGGAATAAATTGGTATTTTGATTAAAGAAGCCTAGACAGCGAAAAGTCATTTCGAGTCGAAAATAAAGTCTATTTTTTTTCAAAATAGAACGCCATTCATTTCGACGGATTTTTCTTCGTCGAACAGCTGAAAGTACGGCTGCCGTCGGGTTGT